TTTTTTTTTTTTTTTTTTTTTTTTTTTTTTTTTTTGGTATAACGTCTTTGCTCATTCTAGGTACATTTCCAGTTCTGTGAGCCGGCCGTCAGATACGTCCAGAGTCGGCCGTAATTGTAGTCAGATACATCCAGCCACCTTTGTCCAGCCTACGCTGGGAAAACCTGGCCTCTGTCATTGACCGCATATTGCTTCTGATTGGGTTTCCCCAAGGGGAAGTGGACCTTTGGCCTCCTTTTGCCCCATTGCTTTCCTTTTTTTTTTTTTCCCCTCTTGCGCAGTGGCCATTCTGATCTTCTCTGTATCATTCCAATTTTAATACATGTCCCGAAGGACCGCCCCGTTGCTTTCCTAAAGCGGAAGGCCCCCATCCCTCTCCTTCTCCAGGAGGGTTGTCCCCAGGGCTTGTAGCATCAACATCACTAACGACCGGCCGTCTTCCTTAACCATCTGCTTCGCCCTGCTTTGCTAAAGCTTTTTCGCTTTTATTTTTGTTTAACGTTGTTTTTTATTATTATTAATAAGCTAAACTTACGCCTACGATGGTTCTCAATGTCGCGTTTGAAACAATACCCGTGGTGGCAGCTGCACATAGAGGCCATACTCACACTACCGTCGTCCCCTGAACAACGAAGGACCCTCAATTTGGCTGCACCCAACCAGAAAGATAGCTTGCATACATTCTGTATCTGGTGCATTGTGTTGGGGGGAAGACGGTAGGGCTTTCCTAGATGTATCACAACCTCATAGCTCTGCTGCATCAAAAGGAGATGTAGAAAGTACCGACTGTACCGGAGAATGGTGGGGAGGGAGCGCATGTGAGATCACAACTCCATAGTTGATTAACAAAGGTTCAATCGAACCTGTTGGGATCTGTTTCTGCCCGGCTGTGAAAAGAGCTCGTCTGGTGCCTTTACCCCCTGTGCTGATTTTTATTTTCTCTCTTAACTTTCAAGTGTAATTGCTGCTTTTGTCCTGCTGTGGATTGCTATTCGGGCCCTTGGCAAGACTCCACTCTCAGTCCCGATTGGAAGAAGGGGTTGACATTGTGGTTCTTGTGCAGCCTATGACAGATGAGGTTTTGTCAAAAAGAATAAATTATTTTCATTTTTATTTTTCATTTGGCAAAGAATTTCGATGTGACCCTGAGGCAAAAGTTGCTCAGTTAATTTTTCTGCATAACATAGTTTTTTTCCGATTTTTTTCGCGTTTTTTTTCCTGATTTTCCCGATTTTTCCTAGGCTGTTTTTCCGGGTGCCCGGGGACCCAACTTGTGCCTTGATACACGTCTGGGTGTCCGGCCGGGCATGACTCCCGGGCAGGGTTCCGGGCAGTCTCGGCGCAAAAAAAAAAAAAAAAAAAAGTCAAAAAATTCCAGAAAAAATATGTTGTGTAGAATTGCAATACAAACAACTTTTGGCTGAGGGTCGCATCAGAATTCCTCACCGAATCGGAGATAAAAAAGAAAATAACAAAATCACACTAAGGCACCCCCCTTTAAACCCCCTTAGCTCCTTCAAAACAAATTTATACCCCCCTTCCCCCCCCTTGAAAGCCAACTCTCAAAAAATGAAAAGAGCCTGGATTTGGGGTCCTCTGGGGCCTGGACCCGCTAGCGAAGTATTCTACGATGTGTGATGCAGTTTTATGTTTTTTTGGAAAATACAAAGTGATTTTTTATTTGCATGAATGGATTGTTTTCTGATTTAAAATGAATTGAAATAGCACATAAAACTATGAAGAACAGTTGTGCACCCGAATTCACGGGTTGGTACGATCTCCTTCACGTAAGTCTTCATAGTGATGTACCGTGACAATAAAATGTGTCCACGAGCATAGTCATGAGGATGAACAAGTAACGGGTATTGGGATACATTCATCACCATGTATCTCATGATGCCTCGAGCAGGCCGTCCGACAGATGCGGAAGCGTTCCTGTCAGATCCACCACAATATTCAAATTTCACATTTCAAGTTCTATTTCTCAGAGCCAAAAAAAAAAAAAAACGAAGTCTGGAAATCAACCCCCGCCTTTTAAATCAATAAAATCCAGACTTCCCGCCCACGCAAAGCCACGAGCTATCATGTCCAACTTTGTTGGTTTTTTTTTTCTACTCATCTCATTGGACAGGAGGTGGGCATCTTTGCAGTCCCCGCTCAGAAACTACCAGGCCGTCGAGATCCAATGTATTCGACGGCCGTACTGCGTCACTCGAGGCCACACGTGATCGAAATCCTGAACGGAGTGGTAGAATACTTCGCTAGTGGGTCCAGGCCCCTGGGAGAGTGCAGAAAGGCAATATATATGTATATAATTCTGATTTATTTATTTATTTATATTTATATTATTATTATTATTATTATTTTGCATGCCTGGGTGCCCGGCCAGGCATGAAAATCTTCCTAGGATTTTTCCGGTTTTTGTTTTTTTGTTTTTGTTTTTTATTTTTTTTGCGTTCGGGTTCGGCTGAACGCGTCTCCAAGGGGGGCCGAAGGTTCGGCCATTCGGCCCGTCTTGTTTGGGCCCGGCCAAATGCCGGTAACCCTCGTTACATGTGTGTACCATTCGGAAACATGGGCTATGTATGAAATCAATTTACAGTTTCATGCGTGTACCATTCAGAAACATGGGCTAGGTATGAAATCAATTTTCAAAGCCCAGCAAAAGCACCTTTTAAACCCTAATGATTAAAATTCCTAAGCCTTAAATCACCACTCCAGCGGCTGCTGCACTGATCGTTTTTTATCTCACAAGTACCTCGCCGAAATCTACAGTGCCCAGGCCCGGTAGAGGTTTGGCGGGGAAGGGCATGGTAATTACTTTTCCTTGTGGTGGCACTGAAGATTTTAGGCTCGGGGAAATGCAACGTTTCGTTTGTCAGCATAGGGTCGGGTGGAGTGGTACCCAAATGGAACTCTAACGGAATGGAATGTTTCGTTTGTCAGCACTGAAGTCCTAACGTTAAACCTTAAATCCGTAACTCTAAAATCCTAAACCCTAGACTCATCATAAGAAAACTCATATGGAACTGAGTCGTTCTGCAACTGGATGCTGACAATCATCCCTCTCTAGATCTGTGAAAAAATTGCCCAGTCTGAGTCCGGAAAAGTCTGGGCCCTCCCAAGCAATTGGACGGGCCCAGGCCAGCGCAGGCCAGTTCAGAGACTTCCCAATTCCCAGCCTCTCCAGGCCAGTCAGGACTCATCTGAACATAAAGCAGGCGGGGCCAGCCACCAACATTCAGTCCAGTTGGGCTGCTGGAGTAGTAGGGCCAAGGGAAGCAATGCCAACCAGTGGGAACTAGTGTCAGGAGAGCTGTGGGCAGAAGGGGGAGAATATTTGCTGGGTTGGGAGGTCCAGCAACACACTTTCTTTGATTGGACATAGGTTGGATCAGCGTTGTGCTTCGGGGGATGGATGGCGAGGGGCAATGGGTAGACTACGCTACCTTCTTCATCCGAATACATTGTACGGTCATTATTGCTGTATATAGACTGAGAGATGCCCCAAATACGACTACAATGACCGCACGTTGTATTCGGGCGTGGGAGGTAGTGCAGGGTAGGAGTAGAGCAGGGAGATCACATTGGCTGGTCGTTCGAGAGAGCGATTAGCATTGCTTGTGAGATCCATTATCGTTGTTGTTGTTAATTGGTGGTGGTGTGAATGCGGCTTGTTTCTTCATCAGAGGACTTGAATGTAGTCAGTATTTTGGTACATGTCTTTGTCGGGTCTGGTCATTGCTTTGTTGCTGAGTTGATGCTGGTTCATGAGCTCACAATTTGCTTTGGACTTGTTATTTGAGTTTCTTTCCCAAGGTATCCTTGCAGTAGCACTTTCCAGTTCTGTTTCTGTGTCCGTATTGCGAATGCATTAGGACTCACAACATCAGATAGTAATTAGGCTGTGTCTACGTAGTTCAAATGCTTGATGAGCCAGTGTTTGGTCCTCTCGTTCCCTCCTCCCTCTCACCCACCTTTCTTTGGTCGTCTCTCTCAGTCAACCCTCCATCCATCGTCTTCTGTCCTGTGATCTGCTTCACATTATGGCATGGTGAAAACAGACAGAAAGGCCTGACTGCACATTCAGGCAAGCTGCACTCTTGATGCAGGTGTGAAAATTTATTCGTGCCGGGTTGACTCCTATCATTCAGAAGCTTTCAAAGTCCTTGGCAGTCTCAGTTCTACTGCGGCAGAACCACGAGCAGATGGGGATAAAGATGGTGAGTGCCGACTAGAGGTGGAATGGATCAAAGAAACAATGAGCAACAGATCCTGGAATTGTTGTGTGCGTGCGTGTGTGTGTGTGTGTGTGTGTGTGTGTGTGTGTGTGTGTGTGTGTGTG